GCACCTGTTGTCTCGCGCGGGGTCGATCCCGCGGGGGGTCGGGCGGGGTCAGGGCCTCCCACCCCACGACCTCGGCAGCCGCCTCGACCTCGTCGCTTGGCATCTCCGGGAAGTTCACCGTACACCAGGAAAGAAGTCGCGTGAAGCGCGCCCGATCGGGATCGGGATCGGGGAATACGGAAGTGGCGGTAGAAGGGGGATCCGATGCATCGGGATGGAGGGGCTCGTCTGGGCGGGCGCCGCAGGGCATCGTGAGCGTTGCTTCGTTGCAGCTAGGAACTTTTGGGAGAAAAAGGGGTCGAACCACACGAGGGGGGGGGGGGGGGGATAAAAATTGGTCGTGCAGCAGCATACGGAGATCAATAGTCCATCCGGAGATGAATTGAAGCTGGAAGACGAACGACATGAAGAAAACAGAGCATAAACTTAAGTAATACCTTTACACGCCAGCGTTTAGACAAGCTTGAGTTGGGTTATGATCAATTAGTTTACCCCTTTTAAAAACAAACAGCATCCGGATTATAAAGACTTTCAAACATCAACCTATTCTCATTATGCCCTCTGCTCGGAAAATACTGTGAGATTACGTCTAAAGTCTCATTCCTTCCATCGTGGCATGAATGGAATTCCCAATTACGCTTTAACTATCATTAAAGACTGGAATCCCGGAGCCATTCGGGTTCCCGTTGCCCGGGTGGATAGCTCACCGCAACCGCAACGAAGTCACCCGGGTCGTCCTTCGCGTGAATCCCCCTTTTTCACGGTTCCCGCTTAGAATATCACTGCGCGGTACATCTCATCGAACCCGTCATCGCTGTCATCCTCCGGCATCTCCTCGTCATCCTTCCCGACCGAAAACATGTGATGATTCATCCACTCCGGGATAAGCGCAGAGGACTGCTCCCCAAAGAACGTCACCCGCCCAGGGCCCTCCACTTCGAACCCTACGGAGCCATCGACGTCAAGCCGGATGTTCAGACACCCCACCACATCACTGGGGACGACGGGGATGCCAGGAAGAACCGCCAAAGACGGCGATTTCGGTTTTTCCGAAGACGAAGCAGCCGACGCCGGCAGGGATGGGATGCGCGTCAGACGATTCAAATCGAATGGAAAGCACGCGATCACGAAAGACGCGACCTGGTTGTTCGCGGTTAGGCTACGCACCTTCGCAACGACCGATAGCACGGGCGGTGGCTGAGCTAAAGGGGTGGAGGAGGAGCACGGCGTCGTTTGCCCCTCCTCCAGTTGCTGCAGGAACGCGACCACCTCGCGGTTGGCTTCACGAGTCCCCGGGCGTTTGTCGTAATACTCGCGTAGATCCTTTAAAGAACTGGGAGGGGTATAATAGAGATGGGTGATGCGCACCGAAGCGTGAATATCCTGAGAAGCATACGCCGCGAAATTAAAAGGTTCCTCCTCGGAAACGGTGGCGCGGAAGGCCGTCGAGGTGATATCTAAATCGTCAAATGCGGCTAGCTTTTCAAAAAACATCTATGTCTTTGTGTTTTTACTTCCTAACGCTTCTCACTTCTACACTGGGTGGTCATAATAGAGAGTCCAATGGGGAAAAAGATGAACACCTTTACATGCATAACCCGCATTTCAAAAATAAAAGAAACATGATAATAGAAAATACAGTAGTACACAGGAAAAAAAGTAAATTTACACTAATGCCAGCCATCCAATCTTACAGAGGACTTCCATCCACCATACATACCCCATTTCAACCACAACTCGCGGTCAAGTTTATCGTTTCATGTGTATATGTGCAAAACAAAACTATAATAATCTACCACTAGAGGGAGGCCCAGCAAGAGCACGTGATGAAAAGCTCATGGCGGGTACTATGTCTGTGGGTAGCGCTAAGAACTCCTACCTGATTGAAGGTGGGAAAATAGGAGGGTCTATGTGTGCAACATATCCTTTGACATAAACTAACGACTATAACCAAGGAAAACACTCGCAACTCTTGGTGAGAAAGGGTGAAAGATAAGATAAAGGCAGAGACACTTTTGCTGTGAGTAATCTAAAACCAAAAAGATAGACAAAACAGGAACATCAGCAAAAAGGAAAACAATGAGATGGCCACGTCGTGCCAAATCAGCACAAATTTTGGCAAAATACAAATTCATAATAGCATGGCGGGATATGTTAGAATTTTCGTTTCCCTTCAGGGAAAGGTATATCAACAAAAGCAAACTATTAATGTTTTGTAAATGCAGTGCATTCTACCTCACTAGTAGTTTCTTTATTTTTTGGGGGCAGTTTCAAGTCTCAAAGGCAAAAAAATAAACGACGCCTGCACGCGAATCCATGGCTTTACTGAAAAAGAACCAATAATATGAGGATCCAACGTCATACGGCCACTTTGCTCTCTTCCGCATTGGTTGATGCAAATTCACTAGCTTTATCCACATGTGATACCTCAGTAGTTTTCGAGGAGGTTCGCCTTCGCAACACAGGCACTTTTACCTGATCTAGCTCTATTGGCACCCCTGCATCTTGTGCATTTTCATTGCCTTCTTCTACCGCGTCGGCAAATTTTTCGAAGCCCGAGGGTTTCTTACCGATCTCTAAAACCCCTTTCACCTCTGGTATCCAATGAAATGTGGTGCGTTCTATCAGATCGACTAGTGTGGTAGGCCCACTTTTGCAAGTCCTACACGCCCCAAGCAGCTCCACCACCATGAGCCCCGTCTCCGGATTGAAGCGGATAAATCGGATATCACCCCCATCTTTTTGAAGCTGCGGGCGGATGTTCGTATCGATCAACTCTTTAATCATCAGCACCACCTCCGAATCGCCTTCCTGTGGGAGGGTATCAATATATGGATGCGGTGCATCCGGGGAGACGTGGGGCTGCCCGCTATAAAGGTGGTCCGTGATGAGCGCACTGACGTGAAGCTTCAGTTCGGACCAAGAGGAAGCCTCGATGAGGGACTGAATCGCCTGTTCATCCAGCTGGATATCCTCGGTCGGCGCGGAGGAGATTTTAAAACCGCCGAGCTCGAAGGAATCATCAGGGCTCGCGGCGGCCTCCCCTGGCTCCGGTGGCATGGGGTTGGCTACAGACGCCACCTCCCTCTCTGAGTCACCTTGGGAGGAGTTCTCTGCAGCCTCAGGGGCTTTCGTATCGACGGCGGCATTTTTTTCATCCAAGGAAACCCCCTGAGTGCTCATTTGTTCTCCTGGTACCCCCCCCTCATCCTCCCTCATGGCCTCCTGGACGACGTTCTGCAGTTCCTGCGATCTCCTCGCGACCGCTTCGGTGTAGCTGTTGTCGTCGTCGGAGGCACTCCCAGCCATGGTTCCGTTAAATTGCATCGCGAAGTACCGAGCGGCGGCCTTCGCGTTCGATTGCTCGACTCGCTTCACGGTAACGAAACTCGATCCGATGGTGACCTCCTCCACCATCGGGAGTGAACTCAGAATATGGCGTGCAAGAGGCGATTGGTAGTCGGTGGTGCGGTCAAACATCATCGTATGGCTGCCAGACGGTAAGAAAAGGACGTTATCGACATAAAATTTATAACAATCCTCGTTGGGGGTCTCCTGAAAGCAAACGAAGTAAGTGCGACGAGGGGTGTACAAGAAGGAAATCCTAGTGACCCCCCAAACTGCTGTGTAATTCCGATGCGAATGCGGAAATGCGCGTATTGACAGTTGTTGGGCACGAACCCAAATAAATCTTGAAGCCATAAAATATGTGAGCAATAAAAAAGTATATGTAAAGATGAGTTAATAAGAAAAATGATAAGTTTTAAAATAGTAAAATCTAATGGTATAATATGATAACCCTTTAAGTGACACGCTAGTATTAGCGCATAAAATTAATGTAAATTTCCAATGTGAACACAGCAAATCCTTTTCTACACTATCTTACCCTCAGAGGAAGAGAAAAAGAAGGGGAAAAACGCTCAGTTCGCGTTCAAAAACAAATGCTAGTTGAAGAAAAAGAAAAAATGGCATAGGATCATCGCCAAGACTAGATTAAAAGGAATACGACTCGGCCACATTTTCCTCCATCGTTAGAAATGTGTTTAAAGATTACTTTTCGTGCAGCCCTTAGTTTTACTTTATACACCATCCCATGAACCTCTCTTTTATAATTTGCCTTTCTCACACACTTTGTTGTTGTCTTTCTATCTCCGCTTCGGCCTCACTCACCAGCAGAGGCCATGTGTTTTCCATCCTGGCATTCATGCTCACCTGTTTTTCCACTTGTTGCCGCAAACGCTGAGCCCAGTGTTGGATCTGTTCGTTAACCAAATCCTTCCAACGTTCCTCCTGCTGCACCTGTGCAACCTTTTGCGCATTGTATTGTTCCCTGCACACGACAAAGTCGGAGGGCTTCGCGCCAGGCGCAGTGAGTCTCCCGCTGCTAATCTCCAAACCTTCTTTCTTTAAAAGAAGTTCATATTTCTTCTTAGCCAACACAAACGCGTGCTCAAGGTCGCGCCGGGCGTCAGTCGAGAGTAAATGCAGGGGAAATTGAGAATTGTTTGGTAGGGAATTCAATGAATCCTGCGCCTCAGGATCACCTGCGCCGTGAAGGTTCTGCTCGGCCTCCTCCTCCTGATCTGGCAGTGATGCCCCCGGGAGGCATTTCTGAAGCAACGGTGCGGGAAGCTCCTCAAGGCCATGCTTCGTAGCGACCTTGTTGTACAAGGCCACACAACCAGGGCACTGCAATCTCGACAGCACAAACGTATCCTCACCTTCTATGACGCTTTGCGATTCGATCTCAGATCCATCCTGCTTCTTCACCGTGCCGGATAGCCTCTGCTCATGCTCAGTTAGCTGAAAACAGGGTAACGTGGACTTATGACAACAACGTGGGCAGCAGATCGTGACGGGAACCTCACAACGCCGTGGGGGCGCCCCGCATCGCGCCTCCTGAAAGTGCGCGAAGAAGGTGTATTGAATCGTCATGTCGGTGCTGTTAATCCCACTGACGACGCGCTGCCCACAGGAAAGCTCTCTGAGACCGACAAAACTACACGGCTCGCAAGGCTCCCCGCAGACCCGATTGCACACATGACCGCACTGGAGTAGTTTACAGCACGGATACAAACAGGCCGTGTGAGGGGAAGTGGGAATCGTAACAGTATTCATATCCTGATTCTCCGCCTTGTCTGCATTCCCCGCACCGCTGTGAACACTACCTTCTTCATTGATGGAGAACCGGGAACGAGGGGCGGTGTATCCGGTCAAATGGCATGCAAGAAGACAAACATGCGAGCGATTCTCACAGTGATCAAAGCTGTGAAGGCATACCGACTGGCAGCGCTCCTCACCCAAAATTTTCACATAACAACCCTTTTCAGCTATGTGAAGGCTGTTTTCCACAATGTGGTTTTCCTTTAGGCATATGGAGGCTATCCGCCGGCATTTATAATGCTCCGGGCAGCACAACGCCAGCACACTGCCGGCCACTTTTGATGGAAGCCAATACTTTAAGTGGGGATTATGCGGAGCCAAGGCACGGCGTTGTTGCACAACAAACCGCTCCATCTCCTGCAGAACCGGTACCCGCATAAAGAGTTCCCTGCAGCCGATGATAACAGCCGCACAGCGAACGCGGGAGAGGACCCGCCACAGCCAATCGCATAGACGTTGATGGAAGACGCCTTCAGCCTCTTGTAAAAGCGCATGCCAGGCGTCAGAGCCGGAAGCATCCAGCGAATGCTGGCTACCTCCGAGTGCGGTTGTTGCCGCCATTCTGGGAGTATTCCCCGCAGCACACCACACTAAGGACGACAAGCAGATTACGCCAACCTCACACTCTATAGTCAACTCATCATCGTCCGGTTCTCGCCCTAACTCTGCCTCTTCCGGAGTGTCGTCGAACCATGGAACACAGACACGCATATACGAAGCTCCTGCAGCATCATCCATGACACCAGAATCCTCTGGATTTAGCGCCGTCAAGTGTCTACGAGACTCACTGAAGGCTCCTTTTAATGGGTAAAAAATATGGAAGCTTTTAGTTCTATCGTACTGCGCGTGATAGCGAAGTAGAAAAGCTGCAGCGGCTGTGTCCGCTTCGGTGTTCATCGAAAGTGGTACCGAGTGCGTCCACACCTCCAGTGGTGAGCAAGAAACAAATCCCGGAAGACACGGCTTCGCCTGCTTCGTTAAAAAATCATTCTCAGATGCTTCATAGCCGGCCTCATCCCTAGCCGTGTTGTCCACATCTCCCTCCTCGTTGTTCTCCTTTTCCGTGCCTACAGAGGAAAAGCGCGCGTCGTGGGTACACAATTTTGCCAACGCTGTCTGGAGGACATCTTTATCACACCGCATCGGCTCGCTCAGCAACGCGATAGATAGCGCGGATCTTTCCTGAAGCTCTTTACGAAGCGACCGGAGCAGTACCATAGCGGCGTGGCAACGAAAGCGTTCGGTGTAAACTGGCAGCTTCTCATTAAGAGAGAGCGTGACAGAGTTGGCTGAAGGAAGAGCTAACAACATGCCATCGTTTAGTTTATCCAAATCGTCGATAAAGACCTGGGAGGGGCTCCAAACCCACAGAAAAGGTAAATTCAAGTGCTTCAAAAGACTTTGCTCATTGCACACAACCACCTGCTGTTTCGTCACCTGCGAGACCGCCGCGACGCCGTTGATCAGATCCAAAAAGATCTGAAACACCTGCCGCACGCTCCGATGGATGTGTTCGCGCAGATGCTGGATGAGCTCAACCTGCTTCTCCGCGTACACCCGCCACCACCCCGCGGCCTGGTCCGGGGAAAGAAGCGGGAGGTGCATCGTCGAAGGCATCTCCACCGGCGCGAAGACGGCCTCCCGACGAGGGCGGAGCGCTTCCCAATCGGGTCCCCCCACCCACCGGTGGGGTTCCCATGGCTTCCCGTGGGCCGCCCTTGGAGGGTCCCACGAGGGGGCCGGGGTGGTGGTCACGGCGCCCGACGTCGTGGCCCAGAGCCCGTCCTGAACGTACGACGCCCACCCTGGACGCCGGTCTTGAGATGGCACAGATGGCACAAAACCGGACGCGGCCGCGGTCACCTCGCGCACCTCACGGCCCGACAGGAGGAGCGGGAGGAGGGCGGCGTGGAGGGGCGGCAACGGGTCCGTCCCGTCCCGCTTCCCGTCCATCGCGCGCTGCAGGGCCGTCAGGACGTCGCCGAGTTGACGGAGTCGCGCGAGATGGCGTTCGAGGGTCGCCGCAAGCGGGGCGTGACGGGCGCGACGGTGGGATTCCGCCACGACGCCGCGCAGGGGAATTCGGTGGTAGCCATGCAGCGGCGCCTCCCGCGTGTTCGGCTCGTCGGAACTCGGGACTCGGTCCTCACCTCCCAAGCCGCGATCGCTAGTCACGGAAGGAAGATGAAGTAACTTTATGACCGATGGGGGAAGCTCTTCCTGGATAGCATCATTTCGTAGTAGTAGAGATGGACTGCAGTAGCGTAGCACCCGACTCAAGTGGACAAACTCAACCCCTTGCGCTTCCACAGCGGCCACGAATCCCTCCAAAGCGTCAGCAAGAATCGCCTCTTCTTCATTTTTTTCTGTGTCGCCTGGAGAAAATAAGATCTCCTGGACATCTGCATCCGTGAACGGAGCGACCGCACTGACTGCCGCATGAAGCTCCGCAGCGGCGCGCTTTACCTCCGCGGTAGCCCTCTTGATTACGGGCTGAAGGCTAATCTGATGTTCTTTCCGCGCGACTGCCATTTGCTCACCCCTGACCGCGCTACATGTATAAAGGACGGTAGTTTTGCCTGCACCAGCGCAGCCCCCGGCGACGCGTATGCCGGCCAAGGGGCTGCCACCAGTTGTGGACACAGAACTGCTACCACACAAAGCATGCAAGGCCTCAACCTGAGCAAGGGTAAAGGGTCCGGATTCAACCAAAGTTTGGAGAATGTCTTGGGCCGCTGCCTGCCCACCATCACCAGTAATAGCCCTGTTAGCAGATGAAAGAGAATAAGCATTCTGCTGCGTGGGAAGTTCCCCAGTCGCAAAGTACCACAACCAGAGGCTGGATACCACCTTTGCGACTCCATTGTGAAGCTGTTGATGCGGGTGTGGCGCTGTCCACCTCATAGCCTTGTCCTTTCCAACAGCAAGAGCATCATAGCTCATTCCACATGAGAGTTCGTCACGGAGCATAACGAGAAGCTTGATGATGTCTATGTACGTTAGCGCAGGGGTACCCACAGGGAGCAATCGTCGCTTTAATGGGCGAGTGAGTCGTCTATTTTGCACGGAAACCTCCATATCCACTGCGTCACCGGGATTTAAGTCGGAGGCAGTTACAAGCCACGCGTCCGGTAGTCCAGAGGCCTCCATAGCTGCACTTGTCTCCACAAATTCCGCAAGCATATCCACATCCCGCATCACGTAAGCCTTTACTTGCGAACCTGCCACAACCTCTCCATCATCATCACCATCGCCATCACCCGTGAAGAGATTTGTGATCACCACAGGAAAAAGCACCGGGCGGCCCTGCAAGCGGATAACGATATTCGCAAAGCAAGACCCATCCTCCGATAAGCACCCTTCAGATGAATGAAAAGTGCGATCAGCAGCGGCAGTTTGCCGTATGGCATGCTGCAAGCCTTGCACCGATGCGTTGGCACCTCGCGTTTCTGTTTCGCCATTTTTTTGCTTAACGGAAGGGAAGGTTTCGTTCGGAAGTATTTTGAGAAAGACAGGCATCCCAAACTCCGCATGATGTCGCACATCATGCCAACTATATTCGGATAGCTGCGGATGCAGTGCGGGGAAACGCACGGACACCACTCGTACCGAAACGATATTTCTACCAGATTCAGGTGAAAATTGTGATGAGGAAGCCAGAAATGTGTGCGTAGCGCGCAAGGCTGGGTCATATAGCTCCGCATACGCGGCTCGAGATGCTGTTTCCACAAAGCGCATCGCATCTCTGGTGAGGTACGGTGTGTAGGTATTGCGCATAGCCTCCAGCTCCTCCTCCGCGGTTTTGCGAGATCCTAATTGAGTCTCTTCAATGTGCGCCAAAGTAGGAGGCTGAAGGAGTGACCGTAACCCGTGCGCACCATCCGACTGAGGGTGACTGCTGTCTCCCGAAGTCAGCGAAGATGCCTTGACGTCGTTCAGTTCTTTGTACTGCAGCCATTGCGCGACACCCTGAATGACCCCTTGTATTGCCAACTCCTCCAGTGCCTCACTCACTCGTTGACTCTTACGAAAGCGGTGGGCATGCCTATTCACATTGCGATGAGATTGAGGAGAGTTTGTAAGAAGCCACGTTGCTGAGAGACGGTGCATGAGGGTTTCGAAGCTGCCGAGAGCGGCAAGCAGTCTCGCAGAGATCGCCCGAGGCGCTAAAGAGGGGTTAAAGGAAGCATTGGCCAACAGGAAATTGCCTACATCGTCCTTATTTAAGACGGCAGGGGTGTAGTTGCAAAGATGATTCATGCAAAGCGAAATGGAATCCCTCAGCGCGGCTGTCAGAGCGCCCCACGTCAAGGAACCAATACTCCCTGCAGTATCAGACAGAACCGTCGAAAAGCCATCTAAAAAGAGAGGGGATGCTACAAAGCTGATAAAAAGGGTTTGATAGAGGCTCGGTAGCGGTATAATCGCGCTAGCATGCACAAAAACGGACACAAAAAGCCTCAGTACGGAAAGAATAGCACGCCGAAGTAGATCTAGTGTTTTGCGATCGAAGGACCCCATGAGTTCATCGGAAACTTTTAAAAGGAGAGGTAGCTGCAGCGACCGCGCCCAACCATCTATTCTAACTTCAGAAGCATTTTTCACGGGTCCTTCTGAATTCCTGTTCCCCAGAACGCAGGCTTGAATATATGACAGTTGAGGTAACCCAGGAGGTTGCGCCGATAGCCCCGCCATCCATGTGCACACCGCTGCTACATTCGATCTAACGGCATCCCGCCATTCATCAACGTTTGAAAAGACATTCGTATCGAAGGTTAAGAATTCCGCATTGACAACCAAATGATCCCCATAGTTGCAACTGTTATCCCTGTCCGTGTCAATAGCAAGAGTGTTGTTGCTAGAAGAGCCGTTTTCCGAATCGCTTGCATTTCTGTTACCGGCAACGGCTCCAAGTCCGGCTGTATCGGGCGGTTTATTTTCCACAACCTGAAGCAGAAGGGTGTCGCCGGGGAATACTTCACCAAGCCGCTTGTCAAACTTCAACCTTTGCAAGGTACTCCGAGCCTGCTGATGGAATATTTGATCGCGGTCGTTCGCTATCATATCGGCCACCGGTTCGGTGGCTTGCAGCGAGGAGGCCATCACTAGGGAATGCCCATCATGGGCAACAAGCTGGACTGTGCTGATAAAGGTCACGTATGATGTCGAGTCCATCGACGTGATGATGCTGTCGAGCAATTTATGTGGCCCATTCGTGCAGCAAGCAGACACAACCGCGTTCTCTTCCAAGTCCTCAAAAAGGATGGAGAGATTTAGATCACAGATCTCCTTACTGACATCACGCTTCTCAGAAGTGCTGCAGAGACGGCGGAACGCAGCATCACGCACTTCATCCTGCATTCCTGCACGCTTTTTGGTAAGCCCGTTTACAACCTCAAACTGTGTGAGGAACGGGGATTCACCCCGGTAAATACTGTCGCCATCAGGCTCATTTTCTCGGGTTCTCTTCATAGAATAAGATGAATATTAACAATTTGGTTTATTTAACGCTGTATCAGGCGGTTGGTGAAGAAAAAGCTTAGCCACCACTGATACCGCTGCAAAATGCCCTATTATATAGCAAACAAAACAATAGAAGAGAATAAAGGAGTTATCACTTCTTATTCGCAGAGACACAATAAGGCTCCTACGAGTGGAAAACACTCTGAAAATGAAACTCATCGCACCAATATCTAGGTTACACACATAATTACTGAATAATAATATTAGTTCATATGTGTACGTATGTAAGTGTCGATCTTTGAGTGTGTCCTCTGCATGATACCGTATTGGAGTGGTGAGAAACAGACAGACTACCCATGAAATGACTTTTACTTTCTAGAAATCTTGACCAGTCCATTGTATGGATAGTCATATTTCATTTCAAGATAGATGGCACCCATATAGACGCACATATGCAACCTGAGATCTGTTCTATATTATCTCATATCAATTATTCATTACTGTCCGGACGCGCCCGCTTATTTAAAATATGTTCATCCTTACTCTCATGCGAAATTTTATTGGATTCCCGAGACGCACCCATATTGATATCGTCCCCACTTTCATCGCTGCCGAGTTGCTTCTGACGCGTTCGGGGGTCAGAAACGGTTTTCTGCCACTGCGAAAACAAATTTAACTCGCTCAGCAAATTAATTCCGCGAGGCGTAATGATGTGCTTGATGCCTTCTTCTAAAGAAGTCGTCACGTGGGGTAGAAAACTCAACCTGAAGTTTGTGTTGGCACCCGGTTTGTAGGGCTCAGGAGACACCTCACCTTTATCCCCCACAATATGGCTACTATGAGGATCTGAACCATGGGTAGCAGAGAGGTGAACCCGCGCCGTGGCCCCATCTCGATTCAAAATTAACACCGTGGATTCATCACAGCGCACCATGGCGGTCGGGAACTGCTCCAATTGAATGCGTCCGCCATATACTAACGAGTGATGCGCCTCCAACCCGTCCTCTTTGGTGGAAGATATTTGAAAGAAAACAACCGCCTTCAGCTTTTCGTACGCCACCAGTACCCCACTGGGGGAGTCGCACAGGGGTCCAGAACTGCACTCGGCGACGCGGCGGCATGCCAGATAGACCATGGAAAGCACCGCGCCGGTTTCCGGCGTGTCCACCTCACCCGACTCGGGCCGACACCTGGAGACTAATCGAAAAGACTCCTCCGATGAGTTCGGCGGGAGATCGTTCCGGGCGACCCATAAAAACACCTCCCCTTCATAGCTGCCGGTCACGTAGTGCGAGAGGGGCCGCGCTTCTTCGATGGTGCCGTTCGGATGCGGAGTCGACGCCGCGGAAGCGCAAACGCGTTTCCGATCTAACAAAGGGATTTCCTCCACGCAGGTGGTAACCGCCGGCCTCTTGCTCGTCGGCCAGAGGAACTGCTCGATATTGTAGACCGCCGGGTAGAAGCTAACGCGGCAGTGGTGATCCTTATCGCAGCTGAACAGGCGGCGACGGCTATGCCCCTCCGGCTTGCCCGATGACGCCCCGAAAGGAGGAATAGGGGAGGAAAGATAAAGAGCCAAAATGATGCTAAAATGTTGAAAAAGAAACGCTGCAGGGGGCTTCTGGTCGTCACTTACCGCCGTAACGGTCTTGGAGGAGGGATTCCAGTTCAGCTGTAGGCGGTACACCTCACCAAATTTGTCAGCGAAGATAATGCAACCATCGACCTCGGTTATCATGGATGTGATGCGTTTGGTGTGTGGACCGTAGTGGTAACAGGGCTCAATCTCCTGGATTATCGGTTTAGACTCCGAGAGTTGTAAACCCGCGTCGTTCACCTCGCTATGGCTATCGGTGATGGTTTTCCGTAACGTAGCTGGGTTGCAGTGCACCATGGAATCAAGGTTGTAAACATTGATGTACTTTGCATCGCCAGCGGTGACAACACACAGTGGGCCTTCTGGAAATTGAACAAAGGTAACCGCCCGAATCAATTGTTTATCATCTATAGTCAGTGAGCTGTTCGGTCCTGATTCACCTACGCTACTCATGGGATAAAGACCCACCACAAGCTTGGAACCGAACCCAACCGCGATGGCTTTTCCTACAAGCGTCGCCACACTAAAGGACGGCTCACCGGTGGATTCCATAATGTATTTCTGAAAAATCTGAATTTCTTTGCTCAGTAGAAGAGTAAGGAAAATGATTAAATGTAATGCAAAGGAAATAAAAGAAAAATAGAAAAAAGATCCTTCTACAATAATGATAAATAATAATAATTGAACTGCCCACATGATGTAATTCGATGATGGCAAAAGCTATAGAAGCCAATTTCTTCTTGTCAGTTGTTTATCCGACCCTTTACACCTAGGAAGCGTCGCATGTCAAACGCTGCTCGCGGTTTTAAAATCTCTTTCTCTCTACTCCTTACTGGTTACATTTTTTTTTGGCATGAATTACTTCTAAAAGGTTATGAATCAGTTCCTGATCCATGAGTTTATCCTCTACCTCACGAAACTGCTGATGAAGCCGCGCAGCTTCCCGCTCGTGCAGCTGCCGCTGAATGCGGTCCACATACATTTGAGATGCCTTGCTTTGCGAACCCGACATCACATACCCCAGCTCCTCGGCGTGGGCAATCTGATCCGCATCCTGACCTATTTCCCCACGCCTCGGGGCGCGCTTGTACTGGCTCAAAAATTCCTCCCTCGTCATCTGGGAGGGGTGTTTCTCCGCAGCCCCAGTGCTCCTTTCAGGCGCATTGCTTGTAAGATCTCCAGATTTTGCGAATTGCAACTGCCCATTGGAAGGGGGTAGGGGGGTCGCAAAGTCTTCGTCATCTGAAATATTTCCATCCAGATTTGACTCGGTTTTACTATTCACGCCATCATGAGCCGTATTGCGATGCACTTCTGAAGCTGGATTATTTGAAGTTGCGGAGTCGATTAAATTCTCATCGAAAGTTACCATTTTATCATGTGATTTCTCTGATTTGGATAGAGCAGATGTAGAAAAATCATCGCATAGCTGCCGTTCCGTAGCTCTCGCCTGGGCAACTAACCGCGCTAGCGCACTTTTTGGAGCGCTACTACTGCCTATTTTATTTGATTTCCCCTCCTCCAGTCTCGCTCTCTTGGGTAACGGCTCTTCATGCTGATTGTTTAATCCTTGCTGGGGAGACACCATATTAGATAGAGGAACAGCTACCACTGCCTCTGCGGAATAGTCCTCGGGTTTAGCCCTATTAACCTCCTCAAACTTCATATCTTGCTCACTCGTGGAGACAATAGGGGCAGCCTTAGACACCTCATTGTCCCTAGTGTCACTCCTGTAGGAAGCACCCATAGACCTTGCTAAATCTCTTAGGCCATCCGACAGGGCTCGACTTTTTTCTTCCAATTTATCAAGCATTTGTTGATAAAAGTTCTCCAACTCGACGTGGCCCTGGTTATGCTGTCGTTTCTTCTGTTCGTACTGTAATTTGCGGCGCAGGGTCTTAGTCTGCCAAAGAATGCACCCAGCCGTACTGAATAAGTTTGCCTCGAGTGAGCTATAAAGAACTTCATCCACATACTCACCCTTCAATGACTCACAAGGAACTAGACTCTCATTTTCAGCATGATTTGCGCTAACACCACCATTCGAACACTGCAAGTAATCGTTAGATTTGTTCATCCTTTTCAAATCATTGTGTGACTAAGAAAAAAGAGGTATTATAATGAAAACAATGGGTTATTAAAACATTTTTAAATCAAGCATAAGGTGTATCCCTTGACTATAATGCACTATTTTACTGTTTAATTGTTAATGAATAACTTTATCTGAACTTCTTCATACCTTAGTATGAGCTTCAGTGGCCAAATTGAACATTGAAATCACAATAATAAGAGAGTGTTGATGGTGAAGTAAATAAATCAAATATTAAGGACTGCTTTACACTGATGGGTCCTGGGTTCTTTTGGATACCTCCACATCGTAAAAGCAAGTCTTGAACGTCCTTAGTGTAGTTAAAGCTGTATCTGGAGACCAGATAAACGTGAACAGTGTTCAGTCAGGGTGCTTCATCCGCTCGGGAGCCTCTGGGGAGACCCTGTCGAATGCCCTACCAGCACCAGTAACCATACCCACAGACCTCCGCAGATAACGGGAAGGCGTGCAGGCGCCTGGCTTCGCCATAAAAATGGCTACTAGTCCTCGGCACCACAACCAAGCGGCTGGCATATGCCGCGGATTAAAGACTGTCACTCAATGATATGTGATCACGTCACATTATAGCCACAACCTACTATCATGTAACAATTTCCTAGCACAAATACACTCTTTATATCGTTCCAGAAAGAATAATGAGGTGAGCAATTATGTAAACTACCGACTAGATGCCTTCATTCGCTAGTTTCCGGGTTTCCAAGCTTCAGTGCCATTTTAGGAGACTCCGGTGATACATCAGATGACGCGGGTTCGAGCCCAACCAAAAAGGCTTCCCGAAGTGTATTGGAAATCTGCCATCCTTCTAGAAGCTGAATAATTTCTTCTCGTGAAAGTAAAGGAACATTGTGTGTCGGAACAACTCGCGTGGATGAGGTAAAACCTGAATTAGATACTTTACTCGTGGTGTTATCATTCTTTCGCTTTCTTTTCCCTGTGCTGCTCACATTTACGACAGTCTTAGTGCTTTCTTCAGTTCGTGAGGGCCTAGTCTTTGAACTTAGTCCTTGTGATTCATCTTCACTGCCTTTCTTCTTACCACTGCTAATGTCAGAATCGTTACTTTTCGAGCTATGACTTGGTGCTACATTGGATTCGTTTTTGCCCAATAAGCTGGCATTTAATTCTTCTATGCCACCTTGATTTAGCCGTTTGCTGCTTCCCTTCTTATGCGGTCCTTGGTTGTCTTTATTACCGTTTTTATTATCATTCGGGTCTTTTTTTTGCTTCTTCTTGGCGCGGCCAGCTGGTTGAATTACCAAACGTCCACCGATCATCACTAGTTCGCCATCTTCCACCCATGTCGTGTTAGATTCTTGTTTTTTGACCCCTTCTTCGGTGGCTACCGAGCAGCCCTGCTGCAGCAGCCCGGCCTGAGAGCCATTTTTATCCGCCTCACCTTCATTTTCACGAAGGGTCTCGTTTTCAGGTGGCGATTGTGCCAGATTACTCGTTTGGGGTCCCGAATCCGACTCTTTCTGGGTAGTTGACCATTCTGGGGCCATGATGGTCCTTCCTTCGCGTACGACTACTGTTGTGCGGTTCACGTGCAGCTCATCAGCCACTGCCTGTTGTCGCATTTCGTCGATAGTACGCGTGCGAAACGGCAGGTGGCCACCGGTGCTATCACAGAAAGTAGAGCGTTTGTTGAACGATAGCCATTGCTGCAGGTCGGTGTCGTGAAATTCAGGTGCGCACAGCATCTCGGTATCACGTGACTCTGAGCCAAACAATAAATCGATCAGTGAAAGATGCGAAGCTGGAAAACTATCTTTTAGGGGTTGACTTGTCGCCTCACTCAACGCTGGCGTTTGTGTTGATGACGAGGAAACATTCGCTCCCGTAGTGTCGAGCCTTTTCACATCCCCCCGAGCTGCATGGAGCACAGATTTCTGAGCAGCATCATCGGATGGGTTGTCTGTTTCACTTGGCATATGTCCTACAGTTTTGTCCATTTGGGATTGTCCTCCACCTTGCAGAGTCTGCAAGACACGTGAAAAAAGCTGCTCAAGGACTTGAAGCAAATCATTTTTTTCACTTCCTTCATCTACATCACCGGGGCTGGGCCCTAAAACGCACTCGAGACATTTTCGGGGTGATGGAATTTCACCATTGAGAAAGGGCTCCATGAAGGTAGCTACAAATGTCACTTCATCCTGCGGCTGCTCGTGACTTTGTGGCACACAGTGGCTGTCCGAATCTGTTACATCCTTACTATGATTAACTCGGGATTGAGTAGCATAAAAATCCTCATGAACCTGTTTAGCGTGCTGACACATTTTTTTAAGGTAAGAAACAGTCTTAGGATTTTCAGTTCGTAGGGATGTAAATCCGGACTCTAAGAAAAGAAAACATGATAGAACACGTGATGCGACATCCGGGGAGAGACTAGCACTGTAGAGAAGGTTCTGAGCACGGCGGAACCATACTGCATCCTCGACTGGTGTGCTGCTGTGTCGTCGATCGCCTAAAGTATGCTGCAGAATTTGAAAAATATGAGTGGCGGACCAAGGTGGTGGCGTTTTGTCGATTCCATCAGTCATTTAGGCTTCAAAACCCCTGCGTCAATATGAGGATATTCCAAATCGAAAAAAGACAACACACGTCCGTTTTAAATCCTCGTTTCACATGAAGTAAACCTCGGATGGTATTCTCCGTCGAGTGGTTATTTCCTATTACAGTAGTAAAAAGAAAAAAAGGGCAATAAAATCATACTTGGAAAAGTATGAGCATTCCTCAGCGTATTTTATGACTAGAGAATGGGATAAGCATCTCGAGATAATTATTCACAACTTCACTTCAAGCATACACCAGAAAATATATAGAACATTATTTTTGGTCAATATTTGTCTCTTCGCAGCTTTCCACACGAACTAATCGGGAATGTCTTTACATAAATCAAAGGAAAAAATGGGATAAAAATAAAACGAATGAAAATGGATAAGTGTGTTGTTTAAAGGTTGTCTATACACACCCCATAAGATCTTGAAGTTCTGAAGTGAGTTCGGGGAACTGGTCAGAAAGTTCCTCCATAATCCGGATCGTATTTTGTCTGCCCTCCTCCAAACGCGACTCCTCGGCTTCTGTATCCTCAGGATAGCAGGTAAGCTTGTACGAGCCCCTTTCAGCTTCGCGCAGCCGTTGGTAAGTGTTTTGTTTCAGTCGCTTTTCGTCATCTATATGCCCTTTTTCCTTTCTAATGGAAGCCAATTGTCTTCGATACGCCTCTATCTGCCCATTCAGCTCTTCATTCTCACGTTTGGTCTGATCCACCTCTGTCACCGTTTTTTCCATTTCAGCTAAGGTTTCCTTTACCAGTTTTTCCTTAGCCTGAGATTCTTGTCGTTTACCGTTTAATTCTTTAAACAGCTGAGCATTTTCCTTTTCCACCCCAAGGCGGGTGGCGCCACGCTTTTGAGAGTGGGTAGCATTTAGAACGGCCTTTCCCTTCATACGGATGACTTCCCGATGGTCGATAAGCTTTTGCATTTCACCAATCAGAAACTTCTGCTCACGTTGAAGTTGGGCCAAGCGTTCCTCCATAAAAAGAATCTCTTTCTTCATTTTTTCAATCTCTGCTCGTCCAATGGAAGGATCAAGGGCGATTTCGGTCTCACGCGCTATTTGAAGTTTTCTTTCCCAGAATAAGATATCGCGTTCGCAATCTAATATTTGTTGAAGAATATCAGCCTTAGCCTGTCGAGCCGCCTCAACTTTCCACTCAAGCTGAAGGGCATCGCGTTTCTTATCCTCTAAACGCTTGAGGAGTTCGTTCTCCAAGAGAAATGCATCATTGACAGTGTTTTTTGTAGTTTCAACATTTTTAACTAGCATTGTATTAACTCGCTTCATTTCGACATGCATGGCTTCTGATTTGCTAGCTAATGACGCAATCTCCTGCCTTTTTAGCTGGATAGCAGAGGCGAGTCGATCTCTTTTCTGTGCTAAAATTGTGCTCTTGGCTTGGTAATCAAGAATTGCCTCATTGATTTCATTCATAGTGATATTGTAATCAACCAGCTCGGTTTGCAACTTGATCCATTCCTGTTGGAGTACTTCATTTTCTTTGGATCTCTCTGAAATCGCCTTAGAAAGACTACTAATAGTGGCTTCAAGAGGACCAACGTGTTCGCCGGTTTCACCAGTGTGAGCACTCATGATTTGTTCATATTGTTGATTGAGCTGATCCAGACGCTTTTGCTTGCGGTCAATGTCATCATTGCGACGTCGAATGTCTTGCTGCATCTTCTCTATAAGTGCACCGCGTGACTGCAACTCAACTTCAAGCCCCTCTAGGGTTTCTTGGAGGGTCTCATTATATGCATTCGCCTGCAAGTAATCCACTCTGATTCGCGCAAGCTCATTTTCCATGTTTGTAATTTGAATTTCCTTCGTGTTAATAGTGTCCTTTATCTTTTCAATCTCTCTCAAAATGTCTTGACTTCCCTTTTTCAACGACGTTTGTTCAGTAAGGTACTTCAGAACCTCACCTTCCATTGACTTTACGGCATTGTCATGCTTCAGGATGTGCTTATTCAGTTCATCGACTTCTTTAGACTTGATTTTGAGCTGCTGCTCCAGAAGCGTGATCTCACCCTCAGTTTTCTCTACACTCGATTTGATGAGGGAATAGCTCTCCGAAGTCTTGTCGCGCTTCTCAAACAGTATATCCATTTGCTTCTCGAGCACAATTATTTCATTATCTACCCGCGATGCAAATTCATTCAGCTTCCCGTTCTCAGCTTGCTCTTTGCGAATGTCAGACCGATAACGACTAATTTCGTTTTCAAGGGTCTGCAAAGCTTCCTTTTGTGCATGAAGAGCCTCTTCTGTCTTTTTCATGGCATCATGCCGGCGTTGAATACCTATCAGTGAACTTTTCCATTGTTGGGCAAGCTGCTTTTTTTCAACATTGATTGCTTCTATCTCACCCATCGCTTCAGCAAGTGTATCTCGGGCAACTTTTGTTTCTTTTCGTTGAGCTTCGATTTGTTCACTCAGAGAAGCTGACTGCTCTTCAAACGAATGAATACGCTCCTCCAGTGATAGAACGAGCGCGTCCTGGCGCAACTTTGCCTTCTCTAAAACAGCTACATCATCTTCAGTCTTATGGGCGGCTCGTCGCTCAAGCTCCATTTCACCCTTCAAATGCTCGTTGAATTCCTCTACCTTGAGGACAGTCTCAGTTAACTTTGCAAGCTCGCCCTGAAGCTTGTTATACCGCTTCTGCATATCTTCAGTCTTTCGTTGGGCTGCATCTGTAATACTTGACAACTTTTCCCGCTCTCTAAACTTTTCTTCATATTCAGCTTGAATGGCTGCATGGCTTTCATTGTACTTTTCAAAATTCTCTTGGAGCCGAGCAAGATGCTGCTGGGCGTTGTATAAATTCGCACCACAGCTTTCGCGCTCCGTGTGAACCGCCTTAAATTCATTGTTTGCTTCATTAAGTTGCTGGTTTAGTTCCAGAAGATGCTTTTTAAGCTGCTCTTCAATTCTCTTTTGAACGGGAGCGAGTACATCAGATTCGGGACTAATTTCGGATATATCGCTAACACTGTCATACTCATTTTCGTTGGGATTGGACATTGAGTTGATCCTTTCACTCGCTATAGCTAAACAAAAGAGAAAAAAAAAGGTTTACTCACACGGGAAAAGGATATCTATGCGACTTAAAAGCTAATCAGCAACAAAAGCCCATAAACATGGGAATGAATATGTCTCATATATTATATAAATAATTATATATAAATATATATATTTATATATATGTAAATATACGAAAAAGACAACCACATAAGGAATTTTAATGGTTTAGCACTTGAGCTCTCTCGGAAAGTCTCTTTTCTTCATTGATAGCCCATTTCGGCATCTGATTAATTTTATCATAATCAGGCACAGGAGCCTGGTCAATGCCGTTTTGGTGCGGACGGTACTTTTCAGGAAGCTCTGGTATCACTCGATAACTAAAATCCTTCGTTTTGAATTGCTTGTAATAAAGCCATTCTTCTTTTGTATCAAAGCGTTCAGGAGGATTGCCATTTTGGAATGCAAGTACTGCGGATCTGATAGCTTTTCTAGTCAGGGTGGGTACACCTCTGGTGCGCAACTGTCGCTTGTCGCATGTCATCAGGTCATTCCAATCCTTGAAAGTTGATTTGAAATCACTTGTTGGCATCAACCTGTGGATATCACATTTTTCTAGAAAGACTTCATGGTTTGGCACATATGATGTTGGTGGTCTAATTGCAATTGGCAAAATTTCAGTACGCTGAGTTGATTCGATAGGAGCCAATTTTCGCGGATCGGGCATATAGCCATATTTGTAGGCTTTGTGTGGACCATATGTACTATCTAACAAAAGTAGCGTTGGGCGCATTCTTCTCTGTTTCTCCTATTTTGAAATCATAAAAAAAGAGGGATCACAATGATCATTGGTTTCATGCTATATAAATACATATATATATGCTATCCATAAAAGAAAGCGTACCTTGAATCAACAAGAACAAACGCGGAAAGCATATATATTAGCAAGTCAACTGTGTATTACTATATGATATGAAATTTGTTTATCGCGTGTTAACTTTCCAATAAAAAAGATTCTTATTAGGTTATTTATAATTACAAACCAAGGTGCATTGCAATATTTCCTGGAATGAGAGCAGTCCCACTGCTCACGGAGACAATGTTATTATGTATCTTGCTACCATTCACATGTTGAATGCACTCCTGAACTGAATCTGGGTTATCGTAGCATATCATCGCCATCAAGTCAAGCCGGTTTATATCAAGAATTCGTCCATAAGGAGAAAAAATATCCATTAGTTGATCATTTGTCGTCCCAAATGGAATGTTATCAACAAATGCAACATTTGCTTCTAAGGGAGGCAGCCGTTGAAATTGCTGCCGATTTCCACGCGATTGACCGTTGGCGTAATGCTCATTCCTTTGCCCTCTACCAAAGCCACGGCCGCGCCCTTGTCGCAAATTGTTCGGAGCAGCATTTGATTCTCCTTTGGGTGGCTGACGCGAGTTTCGTTTGTTTTGGTAAGGCGTTCTATCCTTTTGATGTGAACTCTCTTTTATTGGCGCCTTTTCCTCTTGGGACACATAATTTAACAATTCCGACGCCAAGTTTTTATGCCTTCGATTGCTTGCGTTTCCACCGCCAGGTTGTTTAATTTTCGGCTCTTCCACTATCAACTCCTTCAGTGTGGCTAGCCTTGAGGAAGCTTCTTCAGTCGAATGTCCTGGAGAGAAAGTAATAAACACCGTTGTTAAATCCTTTTTATTGTTTTGCTTCTTACGAAAAGAACCCACAGCTTCTACTTCTTCCCATTTTCGCAGCTCTGCCTCCACAGCAGGAAAATCTGCCGTATGACAAGTTGCTTGAACTAGTCTACTTTCCATGATGATGTCAATTCGCTGTTTCGTATCAGAAAATAAAAGAATTCAAGAAATGGATAAAAAAGGTTAAATCAATGTGGAAATACAATGCATGCCAGGAGGAAGATCCAGCGTATCCAGCACGGTAGCAGATAAAGGAACCTATTTGAATAAAAACCACAATGTCAATGCAGAGTAACACCCGTACAGCTCAATACTAAAGGTTTTTATCTAATGGCACGGAGACAATGAAACGCAGTACGTAAAGCATCTTTGCCATCAAGATGAAATAAGTAAAAGGTACCAAGCTAACTCAAAATGAAACAGAACAAGACACTCACTGCTCCCAACGCCTTTTGGTGAGTCTGATGCACCTTTGTAGCTTTCTTCCATATTATTTCTTCGTATGTCCATGCACCACCCATTCCCCGTACATTTAAATGGCCCTCCGCGCGAAAGGACCACACTAACAAAGGGGACGTTCCTGCAGCCGTACAGTCAACCCGTTTGCTGTTGTGATAATATCCCATTGCGAAGGGGCGCCGCCCCCCCCCCCCACCCCACGACTTCCCATTTAAGCCAACTTCTTTTTTCGCCATTCAGCCTTGCTTGGTGGTCACCTGGCTGCTTTTTTTGGGGGGGGGGGGGAGTCGGTAACGTTTAGGCCGTTTTTA